GCCTGAGAAGGGGTGGATTTTTTGGAGAGGGACGGGATCCTGGAGGGCTCGACTTCCTGCCCTTTTTTACCTCCGCGGCTGCGGCCTCGTCCTGCTCTCTGGGAAGCTGGCTGGAGCTGCTGCCCCGGACTGGGGAGCTACGCTGGAGACCTGGTCCGAGAGCTATCGCCGCTGAGAGAGAGTGAGGCCTGGGGCTGTGGGAAAGCCCTGCTGCAGGAGCCGGGCGATGAGGAAGTCTTCCTCTGTTGATAAGCCGCTGTGGGGAGCCGAACCGGGATCGGAGACTTCCAGAGAAGGTTCGTGTTCCGAATTGTCCGAGTTGGACATCTTGAGCTTTGTTTCTTACGGTTTTTCTCACGAGAAGCAGTATTGTATTGCAACTACCATTGCGTGTGATCATCTGCAATGACAACTGACAGGGAGGAAGAGCAGGTATTTAAGGCATTTGGCATGTGCAGCGATTGGCTGCTGAGGCGTGACGCCCTCATATTTAATGAGGGGGGAAGGGAGCCATAGAGTGACGTGTGAGTGACTCGAGTTAGGTCTTCCTTATTGAACTTGCGCTAAAGCTTTCATTAAGTCAACATTTCCCAGAGAGCTTTCTTTGAAATCACCAGGTAACGCTAAAAAACACAACATTTAGATTTTATGACAAAGTGTTTATTTAATATATCTGGCTAGCTATAGCTACTTGCTAACGGTTTAGCTTACCCCCGCGATTCAAAGTAACGTCAACGTAGCTATAATTTATGCTTTGCTTACATGTTGACATAACTTGTAAGTTTACTGACATTTACATACCTTGTTCACCTGGCTCAGGTGGTGGCTCTGGGGTTGTTGTGTGAGCCACCACTTGAGAATTGCCGTATTTTTTATTAAAAAAATGTCTAATGTCCATCTTCATAAACTCCGCGTCCGCGGCTGAAAGTTTAAAGTTTAAACACTGTCACAGAGGAGAATAAAACACGTTTATTTCCATGCAACTCTCGGATTGGTCTGGTGGTTGCCTCTGTTGCATTCACTGAACACGGGAAATTACAATTCTACCATCCTCTAGGTAAAGTACGGTTAATGTATTATATTATTGAGGGAGAATTTGTCCGGGGCTAAAGAAAAAGCCCGGATGCCTACCCCACCCAGGCGACGCCCATGATCAGATGTCATCTTCAGCATTTGGATTTAACTATCAACACTAAAACAATTACTCAATGATTATCCTCCACAAATTCACGTTGAACTCTATTACTGCCTATCTCATCTCGCCAAGGCACAAATCAACAATACTTTTACTATAAAAGTTAACTTTTCAAAACATCTCACTGTATAGCACATGTCACAAGCTGCATTTAAATACTAAAAATAAACCAAGAAGGTTTCAATTCCTTAGAAAACAGAGAAGGCAGAAGCCAATTCATAAAAGAGCGGTGTGGTTTCTTGCATGTTACATACAATATAATACAAATATACAAAGTACAAGTTTACTTGTTACTATGCAAACAGATGGTAATATTATTATTCATTGAACCAATGCATCTGAAGTTGTTGATTTGTATGACGTAGTGGCACTAGGGGGAAAAGTCAAGAGGTGACCAAAATCAGTTGGGTTCATCCTATGGGTTACATACATTTGATTGGAAATGTATATGTCAATTTATTTCAGTCAGAACCAAAGTAGTGTGCTCACGAATCCCTGTTTTGCTGTTTTACTTCCGCATGAAGAAACATTATACAAAATAAAGGAAATAATTAGTATTTAAAGACTTCTGTGGATGTCTTTTGTTTCTTTTTTCATGTATTGTACATTTATAAGGAAAGATATTCAAAAAGAAGAGGAAGTGTTTTGGGTTTTTCTGTCATAACATATTCACTGAAAAGAAAAAGTGATAATCTCACAATGATGCAATACAAACATGTCAAGAAGAAGAGGAACTGCTTTGATGCTTTCTGTCAAACATAACCTTTTCACTTCAAATAAAAAAAAAAAAATCTTTCCATAATGACACAAGAACTGTCTTGGTCGAGCTGTAGTGCAACTTTGCACAACATGAGCCAAGTTTCTAAACAGTTGCTGCACACACTTGCATCATAACCAGAGTTAATAGATGTGAAAGTGAAACTGTACCAGGCTGACACCACAACAACCACATGAGTGCAATCGCATTTTATAAAGTGGAGCCTTTATGGGAAATAAGATGTTTACAGTATGGCTGAGGGAAGGTTTAGTTCTACCTGAATACAGTATGAGCTTCCTCGGATTCATACATACAGCAAACAGAAAAGTCTAACACCAGCAGTGAAAGTGGTCGTCTGCAGACATAAGACCCTGAGAAACATCCAGAACAACCCAAGACTTTTCTTTCAGGGATTATTTCTGTAGTTGTTGACTTGGGAAATGTGTTTCTAAAGAGTTTGGCCTCGCTGCCCACGATGAAGTGTTCAGATGTTTCCTTCAGAGCAGGAAACTGATGGGAAAACTGTGTTTCTTCACCACTGTTGAAGACTGTTCAGAGTTTCTGAGTGAGACTCTGATGGAGGAAGCCTTGTCTGAGTGGAGCATTATTCAAATGTGAAAACTACATTTCAATTTAAAGGGGAAGTTGCTATCAGAAACAATGCCCGACTGTTTTGGACGTAATATGATCGGTGCATGTTTACATTAGCATCGCTAACCTGTACGGCACAGAGCATGTGTGTGAAGAAGCAGGAAATAAAAAGGAACTCACCTTGTGGTATAACCAGCAAGAGAGAAAGCCTTTGAGCTCCATACTGTTTCAGAAATAATCCTTGATAATCCATGATATGGCATTTCATCACCGCATAATCTGCCGGTAGAATCTCCCGCATGAGCTCAGCCGCCTCCTTTTTTTTAAATCTTTTTTTTTAAAGCTTTATACCCCAAATCAGCCATTTTGAAACAGGAAGTGAAATAGAGGGATATGAAGCATGGCTAGAATGGGTGATCTGTTTGGTATTTTGAGTCAAACACTTCATAGACATGTTTTTTATATATTTTTATATATCTGAGACCTATTGCCTAAAAATAGCATGATAGGTGCACTTTAAACGTTTCCAGAGGTGGAAAAGGATGAATGTATTGATGTGTATTTCCATTTTAAATGTATAGGTTTAATAAGTGTTGAGTGAAAAATAATCTTCATTACAATTTTAAGTGGACATTTTATTTTCACATTTGAATAATGCTCCACTCAGACAAGGCTTCCTCCATCAGAGTCTCACTCAGAAACTCTGAACAGTCTTCATCAGTGGAGAAGAAACATAGTCTTCCCACCAGTGTCCTGCTCTGAAGGAAACATCTGAACCCTTCATCGTGGGCAGCGAGACAAAACTCTTTAGAAACACATTTCTCAAGCCAACAAATAAATAAATGATCCCTGAAAGAAAAGTCTTGGTTTGTTCTGGTCGTTTCTGCAGGCTCTTATATCTGCAGACGACCACTTTCACTGCTGGTGAACTCCTGAGGGTCACAGAGACACTCCTACTACAATCAGGGGAAAGGGTGGCATATTCCTGCTAAATTTGACATGTACTGATGGATAAACTGATTTTCATATATTTGTGTCCTTAAAAGTACCTTTGATCGTCTTACTGAAAACTCATAAACGTTGAAAAGCTTCCTCATGTCAAACCAAGATTCTTCACATGTAAATATAGTCGTAAGAGATTCATGAAATTAATTAAACAAGTTTCATATTTTTTATTAAAAAAAGATAAAACATGGTCGATCCATTATAATTTCCTCTGTAATTCATTTTGGTTCGCTTTACACCGACTGGGAAACAATTACTGAAGTATTTCATATATATATTCATATAATTGTCAGGAATTATGAGAACTTTAGTCAATCAAAAACAAAAAAGTCACAACAACTGAAAAAACATACATATTTACAAAGACAAGAAAGCAGAATTACGATTAAATACATACATTAAAGGTGCAAAGAAAATCACATTAAGCTCGTTTTCGCATGGGTTCCTGCTTGAGACATCACACAGGGTTATGTGACATCAGAGATTTGACAGAAAACAAAGGAAAAACTCATATTTTACAAAAGAAAACCCTAATTGTTTAGATTGAAGGGAGTTTGGAGCGCTTGCACACACTTTAAACGTCTCAAAGACAGTCTGCTGGGTTTTCACAGCGCTTGACACATTCACATGTAAAAGGTTTCTTACAGTTTTATCAGTTTTACATTTTAAACCCAAACTAAAGTCAACAATAGGATAATCCCATCCCACTGCTGAGAAAAACTCCCCTGAAATCTGCTTTTTATTTATCAAATCTGCAGCTTCTCACAAAGTTTCACAATCTTTAATTAATTGATCCGGTCCAGTTGGCTAAATGTTTGTTCCTTAGAAATGTATCGTGCAGTTCCTCACGATACTGGATACACTCTTATTGTGTAATGGAGTTCATGCGTCACATTTATTGACTTATTTTAGTGGAAACATATGTGTTCTCTACATTTGGCTGTGAGTTGGAGGAGACATCCAATTTCTCACTCCTTTGTCAGGCTGCATTTGTTATGTTAATCTGTATAGTGGATTTATTTTCTTGATTGATTTTTAACTTCATGTCAACTTAACTTATGCAAAATCCACTTTTTCATGTCTCTTCTACATCAACATGTGTCCCCTCTGTGTAAAGAGATTCTGAAAGTCACAAGAAAAAAGATTCTCTCTTTTTGTCCTGATCCATTTATATAAAAACCTGTCTGAAAATGAGCTGATCGGAATTTGCCCACTTTATGATGTCATTACGATTTTTTGGCTTGTGTAACCATTAGCCAATCACCAACCAAGATAACGCCCCCCCCCCCCCTTATCACCTGGATCTCCTCCTAGAGCACCATTGAGTTCTTTCTAACCAAATATCTCTCAGAGGGGCGTGGGGAGGGGCTCCTTATTTTCATCTAAAGTAACAGACAGAGAATCAGCACTTTTGAAACAGGGCTGAAACAGAGGGGATTATGGGTAATGCTGCAATGATCTGTTTGGTATTTGGAACCAAACACTTCAGAGACATGTTTTGTATATATCTGAGACCTATAATATATTGATGAAAAACAGTATAATAGGGGACCTTTAAGTCAAAGGATAAGGTTGGTGAGTTTATATATATTTTATGTCACTAAATCTAAAAAAATACCAAAACAATCTATGTAGTCTATTGGCAAGCCATGATGAAGATAATGGTGAACATAAGAATGCATTTGCATTGAATTTATCTTAGATCCATATATGTTTTTGAATATGTGAGTATAACAATTGAACTTCAAATGAATTCAAATAAAAGAGTGATGATGTCAGTGGAAATTTATTTTTTTGGGCTTTATGGGTGAAGGGAGAATGTGGATCGTACAACGTGTGAGACGTTTTAATTTGTAAGCCACGTTAAATGTTTATATGTGCCAATTTAAAAAAATAAAAGTCAATGTGTATGAATGGTTCTTACATGACGGCTTTTGCTTGTTTGGGTTTTAATGTGGAATTCGTTAACAATAATAAAAAAGGACGAATATCCGAGTTATATCCTGAAACCAAACAGATGTTTTAGGTTCATGAATAACATTTTGAAGGTAACAAGTCTAGTTTGATAATAAATGTGACCCTGATTCTGTACAACAGTTGCTGTTTGTTACTTTAGTCGGCCGTGTTTGCGATATGTCAAAAACGTTTCTGTCAAAAGTCCTCCGTCCTTGCTGCACTAGTTGTCGGGCAGCAGGGAGCTGAGGCAGGAGAACGGCAGATGGGAGAAGCAGTCTGTGTTGGCGGGGATCTGCATGTCACGAAATAAAACGTGGCTCTTGTCTTCGTCTGCTCTGCCTTGTGTCTTCTTGAGCTCCGTGAATTTCTGCAGGATCAGCTGATGTTCACGGCCTCGAATCAGACCTCTGAAGTACAGAACAGCAACCAGGTGCTTCTTGCTGCAGGTGGAGGAAAAGACAAATATATTAGACATTTTACTCAGTGCATTGGATCCACATTTTCCCTTTTGTAGGAGTGTGACACTCCGGAGATCACCAGCAGTGAAAGTGGTCGTCTGCAGACTTAAGACCCTGAGAAACACCCAGAACAAACCAAGGCTGTTCTTTCAGGGATAATTTATTTAGTTGTTTCTAAAAGTTTGGTTTTGTTGCCCATGATGAATAATTCAGATGTTTCCTTCAGAGCAGGACACTGATGGGAAGACTTTGATTCTTCTCCACTGTTGAAGACTGTTCAGTGTTTATGAGTGAGACTCTGACAGAGGAAGCCTGGTCTGAATGGAGCGTTATTCTGCTGTGATAAAAAAAACTCTTGTATTGACTTCACATTTATCAACATACACATGAAACCAATGCAATCTTTCAACATGTCATAAGGTTAAATATATTGTGATATGACACCAGTGTTTTCAGATCCGAAAACAAAATGTTGTGGACGAACGGGAAAAAATGCCAACAGGTGAGTTTGTTGTTGTTTCTGGTGAAACATGTTAAAACTCCACAAGTTACTGTTTATGAGTGGGATGATATCAAGCAGAGTGCAGGACAGGGGGAGTGTTTCTCAGAGTCCTATGTCTGCAGACGACCACTTTCACTGCTGGTGAACTCCTGAGAGCAGGCCCGGACTGGCCATCGGGAGGACCGGGAGGTTTCCCGATGGCCTGGCCTGCTAAGTGGCCTGCTGGCCTGAGGACTTTTTTTTTTTTATGTATGTATTGTGAACGCAACGCTGCGCAAATGTGGGTCTGACTCTGCCTCACAGAGGGTGACTGGCTGTCTACATGATGTGGCCTGCCGACATGGCCACTTTTATACAGATCATACTAATGCCCGTCTCTGTGTGTCATTCAAGCTCGGGAGGGTGTGTGTTATGTGTGGCGCGAGCAGTGAGATAAAGCACGCGCACCGGTTACGTGTATTGTTGTTGTTGTTAGCATCTGGTGCTAGCTAGCTGCGCTAACGGATATAAGGAGCTTTTTCAACAATAAGGTGGAGGAGAGTCCTCTGCTGTCAGACTGAGAGGCTGATAACCTCAGACCGCCCTATAGGATTTGAGGTCCACCCCCACTTAAAATATGTTCACATAGGTTCCTAAATAGATTTGCACATTTTTTTAAATAGTAACCCCTGTCCATATGTTTATTTTTGGGTAGTAGATTTAAACTAGAGGGCTATGGGCAGCAATGCTGTAAATATTGACAAATAAATCCAGCAAAATGGCACAAAAAACTGGTAGTGGCCTGGCTGGGTGTGTAATTCCCGGCCTGACTTATTGTCCCAGTCCGGCCCTGCCTGAGAGTCACAGTCTCTTTGGTGCACTATCCATATACAGTATATGCTGCATAAAATCCTTTTAGGGATCAAGCATTTCTTATTGAAAACACATTTTTAGAAGGGTTTAACATATGAATAAGTCTAAATGAAAGTTGACTATATGTTAAATTGCATCCACATTTTACTTCCTACTTTTCAAATATGTTAGACTTAACATGACAACTTCTTTGAAGTGTAATGAAATCTTGCAGATGTGTTTTGCTTGTGGGTTCTTTGCAACAAGCATCAGAGGTTTATTGTTAATGAGCAGTGCTCTCTGTTTTTGGTTTAATCAGAAACAAAAGCATACTTTGCACCTCATTTTGTTCACCTTCATTGCTCTTTTTTCATCATCACTTCCTCATTTTTTTGGTTACTTTAACTCAAGTTTGCTATGTTTCAGTCTCAAATGGGAGAATTCCTGCACCGCTTTAATCTGCTGACCTCTCCATGTGAACAGAAGCACCTTAGTTTAGTTATTCCAAAATGACCAAAAGGGGAATCAGTTAAACTTTTTACGCGTTGAAATCAGGATATTGGTTTAATGTCTTCACTCAGGCCTTTTTTTGTGGTGTCTGACTTGTGTAACCTAACAAAACCTCTGCTTTGCAACACAGGGACGCGTTGCTGCACTTCAGTAACCTCCATGTATGTTTAACTTTATCAGGTTTTGAAAGAAATGACTGAGTGAGAGGAAAGACCCGCCTTTAACCCCTCTGACATCAAGCTAATCGACACATTATTAGATAAAGATTAGATTAAATATTTGTCATAGTGCACAGTGCAGATCGAAGCCATGACATGCAGTTAGCATCCAACCAAAAGTTAATTTACTGATTTAGAATATGAATTTTAGAAAGTGCTAGAAAGTGCATTAGGTAGTTTAGCACCAATCATTTTAAATGTACAGTATGCAGAGGTCCTGCATGTGAATACATTAAAGAGGACATATTATACTCAGTTTCAAGTTCACATTTGTACTTTGTGCACTACTGTGACATGTTTGTTTTTTAAATGAGTTACAAAAAAACCTTACCAGAAGTCAGGGTAATGCTTCACTAAAGTCTCCAGATGGTTCTTTATGTCTCTCTTGTTTTCCTGTTCGATGATGATGCTCAGCTCGTCTCCGACATCATAGAGCCACTCGTGAGCCGACTCCTAAAACAGAAAAAAAAAAATATTAATATTTACGTTTCAATATTCTTTTTAATATAAGTGTTCTGACTAATTTTACCGGGGTAACCTGAAAGACACTAGGGTATATTGGTGCCTTTATTTATTCAATTTAAGAATACAAAATTGTTTTTACGATGATGCAAGCCTTTCTGGGACTTCAATATCTTACTGTCCCCAGGTAACAAGTTTAAAAATATGTTTATTGTGATGTGTCAAAACGGTATTGACAGTACTAAAAAATAAAAAATAATGTAAATGAGTAAGAGAAACAGCTGTAGAGAAATCAATAAAAAAATCAATAAAAGCACTTTCTTACATGATACAGCAAAAAACACTTCCTTAAAACATTTTAAAGGGAAACTCAAACATTACACACATACAGGTCAGTGTATTAGTCATGGGGAGTATGTAAACAGTTTTAAACACTAATGCAGCGGTTCCCAAACTTTTTCAGTCGGTAATTGGAAATTCCAAAAAAAAAATTCCTAATTTTTTTTTCTTCACTCACACATCCGCGACCCACTGGAAACGGGTTCGCGACCCACTTTTGGGTCGCGACCCACCAGTTGAGAACCACTGCTCTAGGCCCTCTGTGAGGGCCTAAGATATTCTAAGAAATAATATTTGAAAACATTAAAAATATTTTTTTATATGTTTTTGTTGTTGTATTTTTCATTAGTGTTACCAAAATAACTTGATTTAATTGTATGTAAAATAATATTTCCAAAGAAATAAATCCTTCGAATCTGCCTGTTCAGTTTCTGTTGGAATGTGAAGGGTTAAATGCCGTCTCTGCGAGTTACTGTGAAGACGGGAGAGCTTGTTGGTCCCTCTCTACATTCACAGAGGGCCCGCTATAGTAACTCAATGAGAGAGTAATGTCAAATGACAGTACAATTGACCAATCATATCTTCCCTCTAAATGGACGGGCTTTCTTTTCGCGGACTTTATGACAAGTTCCGCCCGCTGTGAGGTCTATGCAAGTGGTGCAGTGACGCGTCCTAAAACCCGGAAGTAAGCTGCGCTCGGATTCCGGCGACAGAAAGCAGTGGGATTTCTCCATAGGATTTTGGAAAATAGCTTGAAATAAGGTCTGTGGAAAACGAACCTGTTAGATAAATGCACGTTGTTCAGACGGATAATATCCACATGTCTACCCTACTTTTATTATTTTCGAATCATAAATCTAAACGATAGATTTATGATCGATAGATTTATGATCGATAGATTTAAAATTAGCATAAGTTCGTTCATGATGGCTCACTTCAGTGATAGTGATGACATCGTTGCGAAATTATTAACCGAGTCATTTTCAAGATTGAGTTACAATGATAAACTGGAGTGGCAAAGGATCAGCTGAATGACCCGCAAGTGCTTCATCCAAAAGGACAGGAGGATGGTCTTTGTGTTTCAGTGATTTATCATCAAAGGTAGGCCTTTTTTCAATGTAGGCCGCCGTGCCGACTTAATTCATTTGTAATTGTTACTTGGCTGTGGGTGCCCTGTCATGATAGGTGTTTATATAAATGGTGTTCTTCTGTGTGGTAGAACGCTGTCATTGATGCGTTTTGCACCCCGGGCCGCTGTTTTGATATTCCGCTGAAGTATACGCTGTGACGTAATATCTCTTCTTTTCTTTCGAGGGAAGGGGGGTCAGAGGGCCTAGGTATAAAAGTCACGGCTCGCCACTGATAATAATAATACATTCGATTTATATAGCACACTTTAAAAACAACGTCATCTCAAGGTGCTTCACAAAGCTAAAAGGAGAAAATAATAACATTTAAAAAATCTTCCCGCGACCCCCCTGCAGTACCTCCGCGACCGACCAGGGGTCGCGCCCCACAGTTTGAAAACCACTGCACTAATGTATTCAGTGGCTCTGTGTTAACTTTCTAAAAACTGATAACGCCTCAGTTATTTTGATCCAAGTCGGGACACAACAAATGTTTGTACAGTCGCATCATGGGAAACTGCACAGTATGACCCAGCATTTTTGGGCATTGAACCATACTGGGAAGTAAAGGCGTTATTCTTAAGTAAATCTGTCTCTAATATTAAATATAAGATGTGCAATACCAATATTAGTTGGTGAAGAAGTACTACTTTTTTCCTATTGACATGCAGAAGATGCTGTTCACGTTGATGGGGAAGTAAAGGAGTGTATCACCATAACATAAAACAATAATGTTATGATCACCATGTCCTCAAACAGGTCCCTCAGTTCTTCCCACTGCTTGCGGATCTTGCTCGCTGCTCTCTCGTGTTTCTGGTTCTTGCACGAGAAGTTTTTCTTCATCAGCTGGCCGATGTACTCTCGTACCACGTGGTAGTGCAGCCTGCTGGCAAAGTCCTGTTGCTTGCACACACACACACCACACCACACACACACAAACACACCACACACACACACACACACACACACACACCACACACACACACACACACACACACACACTACACACACACACACACACACACACACACACACACACACACACACACACACGACCACACACACACAACACACCACACACACACACACACACACACACACACACACACCACACACACACACCACACACACACACACACACACACACACACACACACACACACACACACACACACACCACACACACACACACACACACACACACACACACACACACACACACACACACACACACACACACACACACACACACACACACACACACACACACACACACACACACACACACACACACACACACACACACACACGGAGTGATGTAGCAGAATAACAGGAGAGGCATGTAAATGGGGAAATGAAAGTGTCTTAATGTGTCTGTCACATGACCAACTACCATCAGATCATAACCAACACTTCCACCTATTCATCGGTGCAAGTTTTCCAGGATGTATTCCTTGTCTCTTTAATCATTTCTGCATCCCGCTGGAAACAATGGTGCACAAACTGATTAACTGGAACTTCCAAGAGGTGCTGACCCAGTAAGTAAATAAGAATTTCCTCCACAGACATCCTTTTAGCTGATCGTCTGCATCTTTTTTCCACATTAGACAACTCTTAGAGTAAAAAAAACACAAATGCGGTTGCCAAACCTGAAATCCATTGTTTTAAGTCATGTAAGAGGGTTTCTTGTAATCCAAAAATCTAAATCCTAAGCGCTAAATGGGAAATGTATCAGACAATATCCAAACGTTGGCAGGTAACCAATCATTTTAAAGAGGCAGTGGTCTTTACTGATAAGTAAAATTGTTTTAGCTGGCACGTTAAGATAACAAAGTGGTTGGTAAATGCTGGGAATCGACCCCTGACCTCACCTGGTTGTGTGGAGGCCGCATGAGAGCGCAGTGCTTAGAGAGCAGTTCCGTGCGTCTGGAAAGCTTTTTAAAGTCTTCATCGTCGGTGAGCCACTTCCTTGTTATCATTCTCCTCAGATACAGCTGGAAAAAAGATCAGAAAACAGGTTTGAAGCGGGAAAAATAAATCTTACTATATAATGCTTTAACTGTTTTATTCTCCACAGGTTGAAGGGGGGTCATCAGTTCTTCTTTCTGTTCATTAGGACGTCTGTTCAAAGAGACGTGGTTTTCCCTTTCTTGTATTGTGTGATATCGGCTTTTGTGCATGCAAATGGTCTGCAAATGCCCAAATCCCTGTGTTCCCTCCATAGGGAGTTTCTCTCCTACCCGCCTGAAACGCCTCCCTTTCACTCCTTTGTCTACTTCTGTAACATAATGACATCACTATGTAACACACGCACTTCGGCTAGTGCTCCAACACATTGTACGTGATAGGCTAAGAGGTGGGACATCTCTAAGCGGTTGACCAATCACAACAGAGCCGGCTGGCTAACCAATCAGAGCAGACTGGGCTCTGGTTTCAGACAGAGGGGGAAAAGAGGTGCTGCAACACAGGCAGTAATTTGATAACATGCATGTGATATAAAGTACTGTGATCGTACCTCTACGTCCTCTTTGAACTGGACCTCCAGCCCCTGCATGAGCCTGAAGATCAGCCCATTAATCTCTTTCTTTAAGTCCTCCACCTCTGCAGGACACGTGTCCCGGTATCCCTCCATGTGCTGCCTGCAGGAGGAAAAACAGCATTGACTGAGTGACTGTAATGAAATAGCTGACCTTAGTTTGTCTACTGATTTTTTACTCTCCCTTTAATTGTAATCCTTTGGAAGTGTTTGGACCATCGTGTTGGGAACCACTTGGATAAACTTTTGTAGTTTATATTAAGTTGTTGAATCGGGATCACTTAAAAATGATTGTTAATATTATTTAAACGCAATAAAAACACAATGTAGTTTGACAAACATACTCATGAAAATGATATTTTAATCCTTTCACATTGCTATCTAAAACTGTAAAATGTCAGCTTTCCACAATCCTAAACTCCACCTTGCTGTCATATTAACATTATGACGTGACAGATTTGTGTGTACTTTCCCATGTTATATTGTATGTTTTCTGTTCTGTTTTTTACTGACTTGTAAAGGGTGTAGAGACTCTTTGGCTAATGTGTACTTCATATAATCTGAAGCAGAGAAGGTTAAAAGTCTCTCCATGTATGCATCTCCTCTGCATCTGTACACACACTCTGCTCCTGACATTTACAATTGCATTAAATAAACCAGAGCGAAGCTGCATTTGCTGTCTCGAGACTGCAAATAGCAGCTGGGTGCTTTTAGAGGTTCAGCTTGCTCTACTTTATCTTTCTACCCTCTTATAAAACCAGAGCGTTTCTCACTCGCAGCCCCGATTCCCCGAAATCACGTGGGGCAAAACTCTTTCCAAGGCGTGCAAATCTCACAATGGCAAGCCCTTATTTTAAGTGGGTTTGTGGTGAGCCTCTGTGTGTTAAAGAGACGGTACTCTATCTGAATCTAAAATAGCTCAGACATGAATCATCCAAACAAAAGCTCTGATCGTCTTTGGAGTCTCTGTGCAGTTTAACCACGTGTTTGCTGTTTTAGAAGCTGCAAAATCCTTAGTTTAAAGCAAAGCAACTAACATATAATATAATCAGATATTTAGATAATTTTTTGGTCCAAATCACTATAAAATATGTTGTGGGTGACTTTCAAATCAAAGCACATACATGTTAAGTAGAGTACAGTATTGAACGTGGATCCAGTTACATGCAGAAGTGGAAGAATTATTCAGATCCTTTACTCAAGTAAAAGTATTAACACCATACTGTGAATGAACTTAGGTAACCTTGTTTTCAAACCCCTAAGTATAACTTGGGAACTTGGAAAAGGTTCCTTCCAAATCCTTTTTTTCAAATCTGCCTAAGTCCTTATCACATGAGAGAGAAAATGATTACTTTACCTGCAGGGATTTCATTCATTGAAGGTGTATTATCTACTATTTAAAAACCGATAAACATGTTTAAATGTACCAATTTGAGCTTTTATTTTGAAGGTTAAACAGCCCAGAGGTTTTTCATGTTATTCTAGTAGTTAAGCACCAATGTAAAAAACAAATACACTCCTAAACATTAATTAAGAGTACTTTTAAAACAGGAAATCATCTGTTTTCCTCTGGTGGCAGGTTTGTGCTTTTGTCAAGGCATGTTGGCATGATGCCTACCGGGGGTAATGTCAGGAAGTCATGTGACTTACTGTAAAGCTGTGAAGCTGTTGATGTATGTAATCTGATACTCTGTCCAGAGAGGCTGCAGAGCGCTGCAGTGAAGCCTGAACCCCGCCTCAAATCTGTGGAGAGAAGAGACATGTGTTCAGCCTGCAAGACAACTACAAGGGCTTTAAACAACACACTTTAAATGGACTTTAATGTCTACATGATCTTTAAAGGCTTTTTTAAATGATTGATTGTATCGAGGTGGGGTCTCGCGTGTTAAACAGTCTTAGTCATAAATCAGGCAGAGGAAATGTTCTCATATTGCAAAAGTGTGGTTATTGCACGAAGGGCTGGTTCCTGTTTTTGGTTTGTTTTGGATAGTTAACACACATTTCTACGTTTCTTTAATCCATCATTAATGTAGAATTTACATTAAGTTTACTATAATAGCCTAGGGGTCAAAAGTGCTGTAAAAAACAACATTTACTACAATGACTCAGTTGATCTTGTTAAAATAAAGTAATTTAAATTGAAGTGCTCATACAGTATTTGTGTATTTCTGTGTTAACAAACCTCTTGGGAAAGTCTTTCAGCTCTTGCAGGCAGGAAGAGATCACTTTCTGTTTCAGCTGAGCATCGATCGCAGCAGAGCATACAATAAGTCCCTTCAAATTCTGCAGGAAACACAAAAGTATAGAGCTTAAGACAGATACTTAAAACAATGAGGTAATTATGAAGCTCTCTGCTGCCGTCAAATGGGTCAATCGCTGCAGTGCAACATGCACAGATGAATAAATCCCAATATTTTCATTAATACTATTATTTATTTACTTAGATAAAAATACAATAAATTATAATCTGTAACAAAAATAAACACAATCACTTTTTTTAAACAGAGAAAATCAACAATGTCACACAAAACTCTCCAAAAAAGAAACATTATCCTATTAAGCCATATATTCTGAGACCAATAATATATTTATCAAATATTAATATTGTATTTACTCTTTTTAAATATGTTTTAAATAAAAACATTTTCATATGTTATGTATTCATTGTATATATGTATTTAAATGTATGTATTTTTTCTATGTTTAAAGTATGAATTATATCTGTTACTTATTTTCTTTTTTTTGTAACTATATTTTAATTAATATACATGACTTATAAGATGAGATACGGAGTGATATTTATAAAAACATATTGTCCTACCGTCCAGATGTCCATGGGAAACTGAGAGTGGAGGAAGCCCTCGTCCTTCTCTGGAGTCTTTCTGTCCCTCCATATTGTCTTATTTTCTTGTTCAATGACTCTGTCCAGGGTGCATCTTATGTCCTCCTGCAGAAACGAACACGTGGAGACAAAAGGTGGAGGAGGTGGTAAACTATCAGCATAAAGGGGCTAGTTCCTGTTTGAAAATGACTCTATGTTACCTCAACTTCTTTCAGTGACTGCAAACATACTCAATTATTATTATCTATTTACAGTATATTGCTGTGTCCACTGACTGCGCCACGATAGGAGGGTAAAGATCAGATACATTGGTTACGTGTCTTTCCATCTCCAAATCTTTGTGCTTTTATTTTGTAGGCTAAAGAAAAAGGGTCCAAACTGGAGGGCAGCCCACCCCTCAAAATTAAAAAACAAACACTTCTGTTTACAATCAATGGTTGGACTTGCTACTGCTATGTGAGCAAAAATGAAATCTTGGATGTTGACTTTTAATACAGTTTTTTGTTATTTTAATTTGCTTTTTGGTTCCCAATGTATTTCTAGATTATGTGTTTTTGCCCACCAAAAAGGTTTGAAACTTCAGAAAAACGTCACTTGGTAAAATTCATGAACTCATCATGAGTTTACCCTGATGTAGGTCGAGGTACAAGTGATCTATGGTTTGCAGAATAGTTTTGTTGTCATGCACAGAAAATAAACATTTTACTTCTCAATATGAATGACTGAAAGGCCTGTTTACTTGAACTCTAATGGAGTAATACCGATGCCTGAAAATAACAAATGCCATGTCTAAAATTACAGATATAATATATGATGCCCCAAAAATCCCAGAAAGATGATGGACAACATGACCTCCGACGTGGTGCTCCTCACCTTTAATTTACAGCAGTATTTGTCTTTCAGCTTCTTGAGAAAGTCTTCCTCCAGCTGCAGATCAGAGCTCTCCTCCTCCATCTCTGGCTGCAGGGAGACACCTCCCATGATCTTCTCACTGCCCGGAGAGAACAAGAAACGTTTAAAAACATGTGATGAAATCTGTTGCCACTAAAGAATGCTGAAGGCATGTTGCTTCATGTCAGGGGAAAGAAAGATACCAAGTGATAATCTCTTCAGATCTCACCAGAACTTTGTCATGTTTGGGAAAGATAACCACTAAATAATGCTTTAGAGAAAGACAAAAAGCAGAATAGAATTGTTTTTATTTCTAAGAAAATGCAGTATACTGTATAAGAGCTGCGAGATGCTTAGTTTGATAAAAGATTTTTCACAAGAGATTTGCACTTTTTTGTATATACGCCAATGTCCTTATAACATATATAACACACTACAGGAAAGGGAAAACCCCCAAAATCATAATAGGGCCCCTTTAAGTGTAACGGCCCCTACACACGGCGGCGTGCGTTGCCGCTTCAACGCTTCTGCCCATTCACTTTGAATGGGGTGACGTCATGATTCGCCGAACTGCATTGTGGGAGCAAAGCGTAGCTTTTCTCGCGGTGCTCGCTGCAAAAGTAGAGCAATGTTCTACTTTTGACGCCTCGACAGAGGCGTCAGCCAATCAAATCCCGCTTATGCAAATCTACCAGTACAAGCACTAGCCAATCAAACCGCGTGTATGCTGGGAGAGCCAGACCGCAGTTCATTTCCTCATATAACAAAAAATGGAGAAGAAAATAATCGTAGCGGTAGGGAATCACCCGGTGCTTTATGACCAGTCCCTGTTCACCTACCGGGATACAAACCAGAAGAGCCAGGCATGGAGGGAGGTTGCAGAGATAGTGGGTGAAACTGGTAGGTGTTCGCCTGTTTGGGGAGTTATATCCAGTGTACTTCGTTTGAATGGACAGCTAGCAGACATAGACAGTATTTAGCCAGCATGGAATGTTGCGTAAAATAGCACCATAGACATTAATGTCATAAATGTTCATCATGTAAAGTGTGACATGTAAAACCTTTTATGCAATTGACAGGAGAGATTCATGTGATTGGTTGTTGGTCGCGTTGCTCGCGTAAACTCCCCAAGCTCAAGATACGCCCACTGCCAAGCGGCAACGCACGCCGCCGTGTGTAGGGGCCGTAACTGTAACGGCCCCTACACACGGCGGCGTACGTTGACTCTTCAACGCTTCTGTCCATTCACTATTAATGGGGTGACGTCACATTTCGCCGAACTGCATTGTGGGTGCAAAGCGTAGCTTCTCTCGCGGTGCTCGCTGCAAAAGTAGAGCAATGTTCTACTTTTGACGCTTCGACAGAGGCGTCAGCCAATCAAATCCCGCTTATGCAAATCTGCCAGTACAAGCGCTAGCCAATCAAACCGCGTGTATGCTGGGAGAGCCAGACACAGTTAATTTCCTCATATGCCAAAAAATGGAGGAGAAAATAATCGTAGCGGTAGGGAATCACCCGGTGCTTTATGACCAGTCCCTGTTCACCTACCAGGATACAAACCAGAGGAGTTAGGCATGGAGGGAGGTGGCAGAGACAGTGGGTGAAACTGGATATAAACTCCCCAAACAGGTTTTCGCCTGTTTGGGGAGCAACGCACGCCGCCGTGTAGGGGCCGTAATAGCTCACATACATCTTCAGAATCAGATCCACACCATTGATATAAAATTCACAGATTCTCTTCTACTGACCTCTTGTATCCGTTGATGATCCAGTTGAGCAGAGCGTACAGGTCCTTCACCTCCGTCACCTGCGGCTCCAGCTTCTTCAGGTGCTGCCCGACGCAGCTGTGGTAGCTCCTCACGTATGTACTGAACACCTTAAAGCTGGGCGGGTAGGACCACCGCAGATCCTTCTTCACACTCTCCAAATCCTCCAGGATGGTTTTACCCAGCAGCCCCAGGTGAACCGCCAACCAGGAGAGGTTATTCTCTTTTTGCTCCAGTTCGATGCTCCCAATCTTCACCTTCACGCCCTCACCCACCGCCTCCCTCCACGCCTCCCTCCAGCTGTCCTGAAGTCCTCCAGGTTGCTCCGCTCTCTTCTCCTCCTCCTGGATGATTCGCACCACGGGTTCCAGCAGCTCCTTGTTTCCAGAGGGAAGAGAGTTGGAGTCGCGCACGATGGTTTTGATCTTGTTCCTTAGCTCTCCGTAGAGGAGGTTCAGGTCTTTTTCCTTCTTTGCGAGCTCCACGGGGGAGTCGTCACCGCTCCGTTCCCGCTCCTGCTGGAACTCCTGCCGCAGGGCGAGCAGGTTCAGGTGTGCGTCCTGCAGCTCCACCAACTCTATCAGATTATTGATCTGCATCACTGAGAGGGAACAGAGAAAAGGCCCAGTCACTACAAATGGGGCTGAAGCCTGCGAGCCAGTTCAGGCAGTCAACTTGAGCGCCAATGATACATTTACACAAATTCGCGTTGCCCCTCTTACAGCCAACCAAACACATTCTCCTAAATCTGCAACTATAACGCTGCAAGATTTGTCTGCCTCTACTGCTGCTGCTACTGGTTTAGTCACAATTCTATATAATCATCACTCAATGTTCTATGTGTGGCCCAGGCCTAGAGAACAACCTCAAAATATATGCTGTTTCTAATAAACATTTCCAACATTAGTTTTCTGACTGAAATGTTAAAGGTCACATGTCATGGCCATTTCCACTGATCATAATTCCATTGTTGAGGTATACTCGTGGGCGTCGCAGCCATTATATGAGGGTGGGACAAGTCCCCCCCCCACTTTTTCAAATGATTCGTTTAGACCCCCCCACTTTTACCATGTGGAAAGTCCGTGAATTGGTCTATCCACTCGCCGCACTTTGTAGAGCGCTGTGTCAGTGCTTCACTATCAAATCCATTCCACTTGTGTCAAGGAGAGACTCTGAGGCATGAACTCAATTGCACGACACAGATAGTGTTCTCAAAAAATAAAGACTTTACTGGAATTTTGCACAGTAATCAAAACAAGGAAAACAAATATACTCTTTCGAGGAAAACTAGCAAGTGATCAATGAGGTAGATCCGTGGGAAGTCCGTGAGGTAATCAGGAACGTGGGTCATAGTAAGACAACGAACTGACAATGAACAGGAGGAAGCTACCACAATATATACACAGGTAAAGGGGACACAGGTGGAAACAATCAGGGCGGGGAAAACAATCAAGGACGCAGGAGACAGAAGGGGGCGGGGAGCGTGGAGGCCTGAAATGAGAGGGATGATTAATTAAGGGAATAAACATAAAGCACAGGGCAAAGGGACATGACAAAACTAACATAAAGAATACACTTTCACTATTAGTTTCCTAGACATGACAGTACCCCCCCTTCTAGGGACGGCTCCTGACGGCCCAGGCTCCTCTGAGTTGAGGCGGTCAAAATCCTCAATGAGGCTTTTATCTATGACGAAGCGGGAAGGAATCCATATCCGCTCCTCAGGACCATAACCCTTCCAGTCAACCAGTAGCTGTCGCCCTCTACCCCTTTTCCGACTAGCCAATATCTTCTTGACGGTGTAAACCGGACCTCCATCAATCATCCGGGGGGGCGGGGGGGGTTTGGCGGTGGGAACCATAGCGCTTTCCTTCAAGGGTTTTAGTTTCCCTACATGGAAGGTGGGATGTACTTTCATGGACCTGGGAAGCCGTAGTCTCACTGAAACCGGGTTGATGACCTTGGTGACGGGAAAAGGACCCACAAACCGGGGAGCCAATTTACGGGAGAGTACGTGGAGGGGAAGGTCTCGTGTAGAAAGCCAGACTTTTTGGCCTGGCTGGTATACAGGAGCTGGTCGGCGTTTTCGGTCTGCTGCTCTTTTCACCAGTTGTGAATTCCTGCAGAGGATCTTCCTAGCCGCAGCCCACACGCGCCGACAACGCCTGACCAGCGCGTGGGCAGACGGGACCGTGACCTCCCTCTCCGTGGCTGGGAACAGTGGCGGCTGGTAGCCATAAACACAGTGAAATGGAGACAGGCCCGTGGCAGAAGTAGGGAGGATGTTGTGCGCATACTCAACCCAGGTGAGGTGCTCGCTCCAGGAGGATGGATTCTGGGACACCAAGCAGCGCAAACAGGTCTCCAGTTCTTGATTTAGGCGCTCTGTCTGGCCGTTAGACTCCGGATGGTATCCTGACGAGAGACTGACCGTGGCACCGATGAGGCGGCAGAACTCCTTCCAGAAGCGTGACACAAACTGGGGGCCCCGGTCGGAGACAATATCCTTTGGGAAACCATGAAGCCGAAACACATTATGCATCATGACCTCAGCCGTTTCCTTCGCTGAGGGCATCTTGGGCAAAGCAATGAAATGTGTCATTTTAGAAAAACGGTCCACTACCGTAAGAACTGTGGTTTTACCTCTAGAGAGGGGCAGGCCAGTGACGAAGTCCATGGAGATCTCTGACCAGGGTCTGTTGGGAATAGGGAGTGGTTGTAATAGTCCTATTCGCGCCCTGGAAGAGGTCTTGTTTCGAGCGCAGACAGGGCACGCCTCCACATACTCCTTCACCTCCTTCTCCATGGATGTCCACCAGAAACGTTGTTTTATGATGAACATAGTTCTCTTGACTCCAGGGTGACAGGTGAGCAGCGAAGTGTGAGCCCAGTGGATCACCTGTGGTCGCTCGGCCTCCTGAACGAAAAGCCGGTTAGGCGGGCAACCCCTTGGTGCAGGAGCTCCAGCATTGGCTCGTATTACCTCCTTCTCTACTGACCAAGTCAGCGCTCCTACCACCCGGTTTAATGGGATGATGGGTTCCGGCTCCTTGACTGCAGGCACAGGGTCAAACAGACGGGACAGAGCATCAGGCTTGACATTCTGAGACCCCGGCCTGAAGGAAAGAACAAAGTCAAAACGGTTGAAAAACAAGGTCCACCTAGCCTGGCGGGAGTTCAGTCTTTTGGCCTTTCTTATATATTCCAAGTTTTTGTGATCGGTCCAAACCACGAAAGGATGCTCGGCTCCCTCCAACCAATGCCTCCACTCTTCCAGTGCCAGCTTCACGGCCAGCAACTCACGGTTTCCCACGTCGTAATTTCTCTCTGCTGGGGAGAGCTTCCTGGACAGGAAAGCGCAGGGGTGAAGTTTGTTGTCCTTCTGTAGTCACTGGGAGAGGACCGCTCCCACCCCTTCGTTGGAGGCATCCACTTCTACCACAAACTGACAAGTGGTGTCCGGCAAGGTGAGTATGGGAGCAGAGGTGAACATTCCTTTAAGCCGAGAAAAAGCCTCCTCAGCCTGAGGAGACCACAAAAAAGGCACTTGAGGGGACGTGAGGACATGAAGAGGGGCTGCAATAGCACTGAACCTCCGCACAAAACGTCTGTAAAAATTTGCAAAGCCTAAAAACTGCTGCACTTTCTTACGAGAGTCAGGGGTAGGCCAACAAGCTACTGCGCTAACCTTCTCTGGGTCCATCCTAACCTGACCTGGCGAAATGATGAAGCCCAAGAAAGTGACTGTCTCTGCATGGAATTCGCATTTTTCTGCTTTGACAAACAACCCATTCTTGAGCAGCTCTTGTAGAACCTGGCGGACATGTTGTTTATGGGTGTCAAGGTCAGGGGAGTAGATCAGAATGTCGTCCAGATATACAAAAACGAAACGGTTCAGAAACTCCCTCAACACGTCGTTGATCATAGCCTGGAACACAGCAGGAGCGTTTGATAATCCAAATGGCATTACACGGTATTCATAGTGGCCTGAAGGGGTGTTGAAACCCGTCTTCCATTCATCACCCTCCCTGATCCTGACTAAATGATAAGCATTACGCAGGTCTAACTTGGTGAAAACCTTGGCTCCCTGAAGCTGCTCGAAGGCTGACGAGATGAGAGGAAGGGGGTACCGGTTCTTAACCGTAATGTCATTGAGATGCGAGTAGTCAATACAGGGCCTAAGAGACCCATCCTTTTTCCCAACAAAAAAAAACCCCGCTCCTGCTGGTGATGAGGAAGGGCGAATAAGGCCTGTTTTGAGGGAGGCATCAATATAGTCCTTCATGGCCTCTTTCTCAGGTCCTGAAATAGCATATAGTCGACCCTTAGGAATTGTAGACCCAGCAATCAGGTCGATAGCACAGTCATAGGGGCGGTGAGGCGGAAGAGTCAGAGCCTTGGATTTACTGAATACTTCACTTAAATCGTGGTAGCAGGAAGGGACTGAAAGAACATCAGGAAAATATATTTCTGGGATAGTTCCCTGCCTAACCCTCCCAGTGTTACCTCTTCTGTCAATCTCCGCTACCTGCTTAACACAGTGATCTCTGCAATTCTTTCCCCACCTCTCCACCCTCCCAGATTGCCAATCAATGTGAGGGTTATGAAGTTTCAACCAGGGAAACCCCAAAATGAGTGGATGTTGGGCTGAATTAAACAAGTGAAATGACATTGTCTCGTGATGGTTATCATCACATCTTATTTCTAAAGGCTCTGTTTGGTGAGTCACTTTAAACAACAGCCGCCCATCGAGAGCACTCGCTTCAAGAGGCTGGGGTAGAGGTTTAGTTTTTATGTCCAATTTTTTAACTAAACCCCAATCCATCAGACTTTCGTCTGCCCCTGAGTCAATGAGTGCACCATGAGTAACCACATTGTCTCTGATTTTTACTTGGATGCGGGTCAGGGTGCGAGGAGGAAAGTCAGAAGAAGAGATCCGGCTCACCAACGTACTCCTCTTTATTGGTGAGCCTCCTCTTTTACCGGACAAGCCGCTTGTGGATGTCCGCGCTGCCCGCAGTAGAAGCACAGACCCTCCTTTAATCGACGCTGACGTTCTGCCATCGAAAGCTTGGCGCGGCCCAACTGCATTGGCTCCTCCACGGAGCCAGGGGGCGCTGTTGTCCGGAACGCCGGTGAGGGGTGACGGGGCCTCCAAGAAGAAGTAGTATCCAGCGGCGAGCGTCTCCTCTGGGGAGGCGGATCAACCGCATCCTTGGATTTATTCCTTCTCCTCTCCGTCAAACGATTGTCTATCCGTATTGCCATGGATATGACAGAGTCCAAGTCAGCGGGCAGATCGAGAGGCGCCAGCTGGTCTTGTAGGGACTTCGAGAGACCGCTGACGAAAGCGTCAAACAATGCAGCGGAGTTCCAGCCGCCATCGGCTGCCATAGTCCGGAACTCGATGGCGTAGTCAGCCACACTCCGCTGATGTTGTTTCAGCTTAATCAGAGCCCGAGCTGCTTCCCTGCCCGGCGTGGTTTGATTGAAGATCTTTCTCATAGTGTCTATGAAGTTTTCCAGAGACCCGCAGATGGGGGAGCCTCGGGACCACTCTGCCGTAGCCCACGCTGCTGCTCGGCCGGAGAGATGGGAGATCATGAAAGCCACTTTTGAATTGTCCGTGGGAAAAGCAGCCGGTTGGTGGTGATAGTGTAACTCACACTGCACAATGAACGTCCGGCAGCCCTCCGAGTCTCCGGAGTATTTTTCGGGTGGAGCCAGACGCATGGAAGTACTGTGCGGCTCAGTAGACCGGTTGGGATCTGAACCGGTCGCCGCCGGAACCGGGGGAGTCGTGGGAGGAGAAGCAGCCTGCAGGTGAGTGAGCACACGCTGGACCTCAGCTGCCAGCAGATTCACCTGGGTTGTCACCGATGATTGTAGTTCCCCGTGGCTGTTGGATAGGTGCTGCACTCCGTGCTGTATGGCGACCATCTGCTCTTCTTGTTGCCCAAGACGTTGGCCCTGAAAGCGGATGGCGTTCTTTAGCTGGTCTGAGTCGGCTGAGTTCATTTTAATGGTCAGTTCGTACTGTCAAGGAGAGACTCTGAGGCATGAACTCAATTGCACGACTCAGATAGTGTTCTCAAAAAATAAAGACTTTACTGGAATTTTGCACAGTAATCAAAACAAGGAAAACAAATATACTCTTTCGAGGAAAACTAGCAAGTGATCAATGAGGTAGATCCGTGGGAAGTCCGTGAGGTAATCAGGAACGTGGGTCATAGTAAGACAACGAACTGATAATGAACAGGAGGAAGCTACCACAATATATACACAGGTAAAGGGGACACAGGTGGAAACAATCAGGGCGGGGAAAACAATCAAGGACGCAGGAGACAGAAGGGGGCGGGGAGCGTGGAGGCCTGAAATGAGAGGGATGATTAATTAAGGGAATAAACATAAAGCACAGGGCAAAGGGACATGACAAAACTAACATAAAGAATACACTTTCACTATTAGTTTCCTAGACATGACAACTTGCTTATTGAGAGAATGCCCAAATCAATGAAACTCCGTACCATGTTTTCACTGCTAAGGCAGTTTCTCCCATAGCGCGCGCATGTTCAAGGAGTGTTGTCATAGTTGGACAGCTCAGACCTGTTGTATGAAGCGATGCCGGTAGCGGAGGTAAGGCAGTAAAAGGCACACACACCAAATGTTCAGGAAATGGTTAATACAGCGAAAATCAAAGCTGACGATCTCTTGGTTTGATATGTTTTCTCCCCCAGACAACATGGACATAAGAAAAAAAATGTCAATGAAGAGGAAAGTAAGTCATCAGCTGGTAGCAGTTAATCAGTTAACATTGATGGCGGCGGCAGCGTCTCACTTCTGGAGAGGAGTTTTGTCTTTATGTCATGATAGAGAGATACAAATACTGAATAGTTTAGATGAGAAAAGGCATCGAAATGCCAAGTTACTAGTATTTATCATGTAAACAGGGAACATGAATAACCCTATCTCTCTGTGCTCATGTAAACACCATATCCCCAATATGATCATAACATGTCAGACGCAGTCAGTGTGTTTTACTGCCTCAGTTCGATAAGAGATTATTTTCTGAGTTCTTAGGTACTCTCTCTCAATATGATAATGTGCATTATGTTTTAATTATACTTCTTATCATTCAGAAGCTTGTTGTGTGTGTTTATGTTTTACTGAGTGCTTATAGGCAATTTCCATCCCAGTATTCAGTTAACTATTTATTTTCTGTGCACATTACATAGATAGCTAATATTCTACCTACTGCTTGGGACTTTGAGTCTTCAAAATGTCCAATGTCACAGACTGGGACTTACTTTAGAGTCAGTTGTATTTACATTCAGTATGACTTGTTAGGATTCAATGTGAAAGAGTATACTGCTCAATAAATAATGATCACTTCACCACCTCTCTTGAGAGTGAGTCAGAGGCAGAACACAGGGACAGTGGAGAGAGGTCCGTTGCTGAGGTGAGTGATGAAAGGGAAATGACAGTTTAGAGTAAATTGTGATGTGGACTCTCATCCCAGAATGTTAAGGAAATCAGTGGGGATATTGCACAGGAAGCATTTCAGTCAAGGGGCATTATATGACCAATATAGACAGAAGAGCAACATTTATTTGAACATTTAAGTCAATGATACTTAACATCTGTATGGAGTCAGATCAGTCTCAATATTAATAAATGCTCACAGAAGGATTCACAAATGTATTTTGCGATTTATATATAAATGGCTCTCCACAACAATATCTCTCAATGCACAATATTGTTATTGTTGTATATAAATGTACAAAAAATGGGCATTTAAACTGCTTTTTATTAATTCAAAGACGGCTCTGAAAGAATAATCAAATATGTTTCCTTTCTTTACTACTGGATGAAATTACAAAATGTACCCATCATTTTCCTCATGCTAGTATAGCCACATAAAAGTATCAAACCACCTGTTAAAATGCACCAGAATACAGGAAATCAATTTTTTTTCGTGGGGGACGACCCCCACACCCCCCGTTAAAAATGTCCCCCCCACATTCAGGATGCTTCCTACGCCCATGGGTATACTAGAATTTACATTTACATTTAGATTGACATTGTTCCAAAATCACATTGGTTTCTCATACAGCATCTCTGTATAGTATGTGTATTCAGCAGTATTCACTCTCTCCACTAAACGGCTCGTTGTAGCTCTTGCCCCCCCCCCCCCCCTCCCTGTGAGCCCAGTGTGCTCCGATTGGTCGGGACCAGTCGGGACGTTGTGAATCGCGCTGAGCTCCGTGGAGGTGTGATTTCCTTGTTTAGCGATACACAGCGAAACACAGCTGAGCACACACAAAGTCACAGCCGAAGTAAAAACAATAAGTGTGGCTTGATATTGAGTAAGAAAAAGGTTGATAAACGCTGTGAGAATGGGTCTGCAGAGAGAATTTCGCCGCGATCCCAACTGTCTGTTATCAGCCTGCAGCCAGGGAGGGGAAATCCCTGGAGTGTGTGAGGAAGTCCGTGGATTGGTCAATTTGGACCAATCAGCGGGGGCTTAACGTAACGGCTCCGCGGACGTAACGTAACGGCTCCACGGATTGGTCCATTTCGTTCCGGGGACGACATGACATAATGATGTACCCGGAAGAATCAATGGACAGTGACGTATCTCCAACGAGGCGTTTTGGGGAAGTATTTTCTGTGTTAGAGTTTTACTCGCTACATGGTGTACTTTGAGGGTTTTGACTCTGCACACCATTTACATGCATAAAAACCTTCATAACACACAAGGGGACGGGTAATAACCGGAAAAGCATGACATGTCACCTTTAAATACACCTGCAGAGCTTACTCTACTGTTACTTTTGGTCGGATAAGCCTGCACACAACCACCAAATCTCACCAATGATTTCCTTTTCTTCTGACCCTGAGGGGCCACTTTACTCTACCTGCTTGGAAACACATTTTTTGACAGTCCTAACAACCGTACCAGAGATGTCTTATTAGGAAAGATAGCATTACAACACGCACCATTTCCATAATGAGATGTTGTCTCTTAAGTGAGCAGCCTAATATCTTTATTATTTAGCATTTAACATAAGATCAAAAAACTAGAAAGCCATGATGTCAATAGTAAATGAGGGTTAAGACTCTGGTGTCTGCAGACAAACTGAACCCCTGTGTTTACAGCTGGAATAAGATTCCTATCACTGTCTGCTTCTGTTGCCAAAACAGATGAAGATACGTTGAAGGTGCAGACAGCGAAAGAGACAGGAACATGTGAGAAAAGGTTGCACACATAATGTGCAGCTATGAATGTCTTCTATGGTTTATAGGCCATTTTTGCATGTATGCTGGGGCTCACTAATACAAATATAAGCGACTGAAAAGAAAATCAGAACCTATATGGAAAGCCGGTGCTCACAACACGTAAACATTAAACTGGTAATATCCTTCTAACCTTAACAAAAAACTGTACCTCACTGCTTAGTTCAAAATATTTTTAACGTTGTATGATGCCTGGTTTTCATGTTCAAATCAGCGTTATTTTATTTAAATGTTAAGTATAGTATATGTTGTTTATTAAAGGTTGCAATTTTTATTGAATTCATGCAAATGCTTGCACATTGATCTTGTGTTTTATATAAAGTGTAGATCTTTAACATTATATAGGTAGAGGCTCAAGCCAAATGGGTTTTTTGCATGTTCATTTGTTAAGTTTGTGTATTATCAAATTGTGAAAAACCATTAAAACCATTTAACCATTAAAACCAGTTAAAGTTTGACATTTCCAGAGCCAGTGATCTCAAAATGTGGAATTAAACATGTACCTGACAGTGGTGTGTGTGGTATTTCTGGCAGTGTGTACTCCTCCTCCTTTGCTTTTTCCTCCGTCTTCTCCTCCGCTGGTCCTTCAGCGACGGAGACGAGCGGTTGCTGTCGGCAGGCTTTATCTTTCTTGGTGACCAAATTCAAGCTTCGACGTATGGACTCTCCTCTTGTTAGGATAGAGTCAAACCTGCTCATGTTGGGATCTGACGGAAGAATACACATATTTATGCAGTTTTGGCATAAGCAAAAACATACCCCAAATTATGTCTATATATTAACTTTTCAGCTAATATGTATAAGAAACCCTTAAAATAAGCCTTTGTAACTTTAAGCATATTTAATTTGACTTGAAACTGTTTTGTCCATGAAGTGTCCAGGAAACCAATATGAAATGATTGCTCTACCTGTCTTTGAATGTGCCAGCTCTTTGCCTTTCTGTGGAGTAGTGTCGCTGCCTTCTTCGTCTTTTTTGTTGAAAAGGCCTCCGATGTTTCCTAGAGGAGATGTCACCGGAGAGCTCCGACCTGACGGAGAAACAGAACATTTCTCAGTAAACCGATTCCATAGTATCTCTGTTTCACAATCACATCTCCTTTTGTAGCGTCAGTAAGAAAATAAATGTCAGTGCTTTCAAAAGATTTCAGTTTCTTAAGGTGTACATGTATATTTGAGAGGATGGTAGAGTTTTATCCTCACAGTGACTTAACTAATACAACTAAGGAATGCAATTATTAAATCCTGACGAAAACTGCCAGGTCACTTTGGCCCGGCTCCAGCATTTAAAGTGAAACTGACTGGAGATTTTTTAAAGCATCAGCTAAAGGAAATGCAATGGAAGCAGTTTGTGCTGCTCATTCCTGCTGACAGAGACAGTTATTGAGAACCTAAGAATTACTCTGAAATGAAACGTATTGGATGAATGTAACCTGACTGAATTCTGCCGAAAATCCTTATGCTAAATTAAAACATAATGTTTACTGTCATACTTCTGCCTTCAAAGCCTCCAAACCACTGCAGTGTAAAAACAAAAATCAATGGTAATGATGGCTGCTGAAATGCCTTGATTGGACTCCTTTGTTTACTTCAGTAACATAGTGACATAATTATGTAACACCTACGCTTCTATTAGCAAGAGCTCCAACACATTGTCATGTGACACGTGACAGTTTGAGAAGAATAAAGACCTTTTTGAACAATAAAGCATGGAAACATGACACAGTAGAGGCACAAAATACAATTAAGAAACCTGTATATTAGCTGCCTACTGCTCCTAATACTAGAACGGTGTGTTCTGCACTTTGTGTCACGATAAAAGAAAAATAATTTTAGACAGAGTAATCGAACACAAAAAAACAAACTGATCTTCTATTATATAAGCAAATATTACCAGTAAGTGCAACTTGGTGAGTTAAAGGCTGAGACACAGCTTGTGGGTGACTTTTAGACAAGTCTTTACTCTTCTTCTGACTTTGAGAGACCACCTTACTCTACCTGCCTGAAAGCACATGTCATGTCAGCCATAATGACGGTACTCACTGGGTGACTGAGGCGTTAATGACCCTGATTCATTGCCAGTCGTGACCTTTAACCCCTTTCCTCCGGACGTCAGCGGGCTTTTCTCCGCCGCCCGCCGGATGCTTTTTCTCAGCGTCTTTAACATGCCCAGCGACTCCTTGGCACCTCCGTTGGTCGGCGTCTTCCCGTTGCTCTTCAGGGACACTCTGTCCTCTTCCGTGTTTTCAGTGTCCATCATTTGTGACATCTCAACTCGTTGAATAACATCCACCTGTGAGAAAACAGAAGAAATGTTAAATGTCTGCCTGATATTTCTGAACTAAGGTGTATGTGTGTGTGTGTGTGAAACGGCAGTGAAGCTGTACTTTGTTTATTGTGGTTTCAGGAAGAAGGAATAGATTGTGTTTACAGATAACATCACAGTGCAGTTCATGTCAACACAGAGCGAGAGTGACGTAAATCAGGTTGAGAATGTGCTGTAAAAGCAGCTAAAATGTTCATTGGCATCATTTTAACAGTAAGGATATCCCAAAATCCTCTTCTTGTCCTGCTCACTTTTATAGTTTCAGGGTGATTTCCTTTAATAAAGAATCTCTAGTGTCCTCTGAATGTCAATCTCACATAATCCAGATGAAATGAAAACACCTTAATTTGAAAGATTCCTTTAATTGTTTCTCAAAATTAAAGGTTTGTATTCTACTTGTAAATTGCCTGATGACGGTATTGTCACTTATGTTATTCATATAATCTAGTTAGCCGTGCCAGAAATGTTGTTCTGTACTCCTGTTATTATTTGCAATGCCAAACACACTGAGTAGGAGATTAAATGCTACAGCAATTGTTTTCATTTATTTAAAAGCAAATTGCAGCAATATTTGATATAATTGTTTGCCCTAAAACATCCAAGAACCTTCTTTTATTTCTATTTATTACTTACATAAAAATTGTTATATTGTCCACACATTTTTGTTTCTGTTTCAAATGTCTCACTATTGTTATTGGCTAACTTTGCATACTGTATCCATGTTAGTGTTTGACTTTCTGCCCTGAGTAAATAAAGGTGTAATTCAGTCAGGCCTCAACCGCGGCCTGCTTGAAATACTTTCTGTTTCATATCATTTTGGAAATACCCTGCAACGACTTCACCTGAATTTCAGAGTCAAGGTGAACAGTAATGCCAACATGTGATTGGCATTTAAAGAATAATTAACTATACTTGGATCTTAGTTTTGTAGTTTTGGCAATAGTTGTGTTGTGGATTATTTATGTGTTGTTTATATGTTGTTTTTGGACAACAGGCTTTGGCTGCAGAGGCAACACTTGTATTGTATTGGGTGATATTGTTTTTTATTTTATCAAGCACTTGAATGTTTCCTTTCTGCGTATGTCAAGTGTTCTATAAATGGAACAGAATTAATGTAATATATTACAGGCCTGTCCAGTCAGGTTTTTATTCCTAAAGCAGCTCAGGATCAAACCAGTAAAAAGTTATGATGTGCTGATAACAGTTTGATACTAAATAACCTGTTTTAAAACATACAGAGCGCCATTGTTTTACCTGTAAAAACTCACCTAGGAGTAAAATACCTGGATTGCAAAGACAAATATTTTCACAATACAGACAAACTGTTCGCTAGGTTAAAAAGTAACTGGCTCGTAATGTATGTTGAGATAGACAGAGAGTAAAAAGGTGTCACCTTACCTTCGTAGCTCAGGTAGAAACACGCTGCCAGCCTTCCTTCCTCTCTTTTATTACATCCACTCCTACCTGCTTTCCCTTTCTCCACCTTTACCGTAAATCCGGTTGGAAGATACGAATAGGGAAATTACAGAACCAACAGGATTGGCAGCTAATGGAGCCAAAAATAAGTCTGTAAAGAAGCAGAGCAACACGTTTTCTGAAGCCACATGACAAAGTTTACCCCGCTGTAATTTGTGTTTGGAAAAAACAGTTGAGTTGAGTTAATGATTAAACAGATATAAACTGGAGGAGGAGTGTCAGTCACAGAGAGTTTAAACTGATCTTTACCAGAGGTTTTTAGTAAATGTGATTATACTAAACTTTTCTGTAAAATCAGTTTACAGGTAGATTTTCTTTCTTACCTGGAATGTGGCGTTAAAGCATTCGACCATGCTGCCTTTAAGAGCCTCCGTAAAATCCGGTTTCAAGGTCGTCAGTCATAAATTAATAATGATTAAGCTGTGATGAAAGAAGTTCTCCATTACTTAAATACAAGTACATTTATGTTAAAGTACTCCATTGTAAGTTAAAGTGCTAGATTAACATGTACTTCAAGAGTTTATCATGAAATTAAGTATAAAAAGTACTACTTCAGCATGTCTTACTATTTATATTGCATTTTTCAGTGGCAAATTAAGTAAGTACATTTACTCTATTACTTGACAAAATGTCATGGTAATTTCGTATTTTAATTGCATGTTGCTTTATACTTCTACTAATATTAGTATTGGTATAATATATGTATTGTCAGCAAATGCAGTTCCCTCTGCATACTGCATATTGTTTGATTGTCAATAAAAGTAAAATATTTTTAATATATTTACTTTATGACTGAAATATTTCAGGGTATCTGTTTAATATTTTTAATATATTTACTTTATGACTGAAATATTTCAGGGTATCTGTTTACTTTAAGTGAGTATTTCTAATTTGCTTCACTTATCATTTTATCATTTGTCCTTTTTGATGTGTTATTATGTATTAAGCAATGATTTTAAGTTTTTTAATTGTTTCATTCAATTGTGGATACAGTTGTAACTATTTTACTTCAAAGTACATTTGATTTTTAAAGCAATTTTCCTCATTGGCATCTGAAACCCAACATGGGGCCTCAGATAGACATTGATTTTTTGTAAGGGGACAAAAGCCAAAAGTGTTTAGAACAACTGGTTTAATCTTTAACAATGTGGTGTGGTATATATTATAAGCTTATTTTAAGTGAGTATGTTAAATGAATGTAGTTCAGTAAACAGCATGACATATCAATATTAATATCATATATCATAATAATCAGGGCTGCACATAACTGGTGCGCAGGTGCGCATGCGCACCTGCGCCAAAGAAAGAGCACCGGGTCATTTGAAAAAAGGCGCATTTGCGCACCAACATTGAGAGAGAGAGAGGGAGAGAGAGAAGGGAGAAGAGAGAAGAGAGGAGAGAGAAGAGAGAAGAGAGAAAGATATTTGCGAGTTGCATATGAACTCAGGGCCGGCCCGTGGCACTGGCGTTATAGATGTTCGCCTCGGGCGCCAGATCTGGGGAGGTGCTGCGCTGACAGCTCTGGGAGGGAAAAACATTTTTTTGACCGTTGGGGCTCATCCTAATTTTCGGCCTTGATGTAACAATATTCTCAATTAAGTAAATGTAACACCCTTTTCATCCCGGTTACACGATTCATTTGCCCTGTATGATGGGCGCTGTAAGTGATGAAAATGGGGGATGTTGGCTTATCTGGCGCCCGCAGCTCACAGCCAAAGTGCGAGTGAGCGAGGGAGAGAGGGAGGGTGCACCGGTCCCGGCGCTGTTATTAGAATCTGGTGCTAGCTGCTCTAACGGATATAAGAAGATGTTTCTACAATAATGTGGAGGGAGAGTCCTCTCCAGTCAGACTGAGAGGCTGATACTACAGCTCAGTGAGGTAAAGGACTCTGAGTGTTTAGATAGTTCACTTTAGTTTATAAGTTCAAACAGTTTGGTCACAATTTATGTAAACACATATTTCCAAGGCACTCCTTTATAATTATTGGGATAAACAGGTTTGAAATCATTCCAATGTATACTATAGGACAGTAACCAAAAATATCCTTTAAAACTGGAGAGATAAAAAAAATGCATAAATAAATAAATGTTAAGGTAAAATAAGATATGAATGAACAACATAAATAAAATAAGTTACATTCATTTGTTATTGCCTATGGTAGGCTATTGGTTATGTTCACATACTTATTTGATTACATCCACTTGTCTAAGATGACAACAGAGACTTTCGACCCAAACCCAGCTGTTGACTTGTGGATGCAAGCAGCTAATTGCAGACTCAACCAGAGAGAAAGTAGTAGGCCTACATCATCAGCTACCATGTCTGACAGAGAGGAAGACAGTGAGGAGAACAGTCAGGAGGAGTGATGACAGCTTGTAGGATTACTGCTCGTGCTAATGTTGTCTTGTGTTCACCTCTGTCTGCATGTGTGTTCTGTGTTCACCTCTGCATGTGTGTTCAGTGCCGTGTGCACATAAAGTCAAGACCCCCTCAAAAGTTACGGTTTATTTCATTTTAAGGATGAGCACCAAGCAACATCTCCAGGTGCTCCTTTGAGAACCAGGGCAAAAAAGTTATGTGCACCCCTGATAATAATCATATAATACTCATGTATACAAGTACCTTTAAGTTGTAATTAACTAATTGGAAGTTAATTTTAGTATCCAAAGAAGAGAGCAAAAATAAGAAAAATAAACCTGACTGTTACTTAACAAGATGGTTGTATTTATTTCTCCTTCACTCCCATTTTTCTATTATATGTAGATTCCACGCAAACGTAAAACAAACTCATAGTTGTAGATAATTCCTCACTCCTTTTTACCTGCACTTTGCCAGACCATGTTAAAGTGTGTGAAAGTTGTAATTAAATTAAATAAAAGAATGTTGTGGTGATTATGTCCACTGGAGGGAGCTATGTGATATATTTGTAACTGGTGATGATTCAGAATTTTTTATTTTGCAGTTGTGAAAGCCCTGACCTAAACAATTACTTTTTATAGTAGGAAATATAAATGTAATGATGTTTTTAAGTATGTAGATATAAACATTTAGCCGTGAATTCAGATTCCGTCCAAAACAGCCGGTCAGACATCTGCTGCAGCTTCACGGCCGGAGAAGATCAGCAATGTGTATTTCCGGTCCAGATGAATGGCATGGTGACCAACTGCTCCATCTTCTGGTGTGTGTGTGTGTGTGTGTGCGTGTGTGTGTGTGTGTGTGTGTGTGCGTGTGTGTGTGTGTGTGCGTGTGACATACAGTGAGAGGATTATGACTATATATTACGGAAATAAAAGGGTTACTGAGCTGCTATCTACAGCATAGTGTCAACAACAGCTTAACACAACTCATCACATCCTGTTTTGTCCATTCAATCATCCATCAGGCCTTTTCTTCAACTTATTCTTCCTCTAAACCCAATATTTTGTCAATATATATACCGAGTATTTAATAAATCAAAACTGTATCAAAAACAACACTAAAAAAGAAAACACAATGACATTTATTTTGTTTTAAATATGCAATACTATTTTTCTAATGTAAAATGTCCATCTCTGTGAAGCTGTATTTTCCTTTAATTGCATACATTTTGAACTTTAACCAAATGTTGGTACTATGAGAAATGTCAGTCATGTCAAACCATCCAACAATTGTTGAGGCATTTCACAAAAAATCTATATCATCCTCTGGAGTCCACAAATGTCTAACTTTAATGGTAACCCATGCATACTGTTGAAATATTTAAATAAGCAAATCTACCGGTATCTCTTGCTTCAAATGAATGTTTCCAACAATGTAAACCAAAACTGCATTATTAGTTTCAATTAATTACATTTTCTCTCAGATTTATTTCGGAAACACATACAGTATTGTATTGTGTATAGGTAGTAGGTTGTGATGGAGAGGTTAAACAAACCAGAAGATCATTATCTCTGTCCTGTGTGAAACCAAAAGTCAACAACTTAATTTAGGTCCATAATGTACATAACTAAATGTAAACAAGTAAACCATCATCTTTTCACTAAAGCAAATGTTGTTGCTTATTGTTATGTTTCAATTTACAACGTTAACCTCACGTTTGAAAAGGCTACCATAATTCGTAAGAACATTTGTATCACTCAAATTGAGTAGAAGGCAGGAATATTTGACCACTTAATCTGTTTTCCCTTTCGTTTCTATTGTTATTTAAGAAAGAGATCTGAGTTTGTATCTTTTACCATCTTCTTCCTCCTTTTAGTTAATGATGTATGACCGGTTTTAACCCTAACAGTCCAGGGATTTCTACCACGCTGCTAAACTCAAGAGCATCTCCACCACACAATGGCTTCATTCAGATTAGTGTTGCATAATGAAAGGAAAGCTGTGGCATGTGAATGGTGAGTGTGTCAGTCCAGATGTCCATGAGCTTAGACCATGTTGAATGTTCAATTATACTGCATGGATATGAAACCCTTTTAGTCAAGCTAAAGACATTTAACAAAGATTATTTCATAATGTATGTTGTGTTGTATGGTGTGGAGAAAAAGGAGCAAGTAAACAATATGTTAGCATCAAACCTAAATAAGATGTGGGTTCTTTTCATTCAGATGCCAGGTTTCCCATTAATAAGCATTGTGCTTCCACACAAGCAACCTTGCAATGGCAGAACCGTTTAGCTCAATATAAAACAGGGTTTGAATGTCTTGTGTTGTGCTAAAACAAAGAGTTTTTCTTAAGAATCCTGTATTCTTGGTCAATTCGTTATTTTTGGTTTTAGGTGTATACAGTATGTAAAGAAAAGAAAAAAATGACAATAATAGCTGTGGCTTGCATATTTGAACCGTTTCAGCTAGCTAGATATTTAAGCTAACGTTACCTTTAGGAGTCAGCTACTTCCAACTGCGTCACGTGATGTGCTATATAGAAGATTTTTTTCAATTAAAGAGATATCTGTGAATATCTACTTCCCAATTAGAACATTTAAACGTCCCTATACCAGACCGTCTTACACTAATAATAGTGTATAATCCATTATGTATCAGTAATATTTTCTTGTATCATCTGCATGTTTCATGAACATATACTGCAATTCTTTTGTCATAGACCAGCGGTTTTCAAAGTGTGAGGCGCGCCTCCCCTGGGGGGCGCCAGAGAGCTTCAGGGGAGGCGCAGCGTGAGAAAAAAAATAACGAGAAAAAGATGAGTAAAGTGACACTTGCACACTTTTGGCTGTCTGTGGAGACCGAGTTCCCCCACCTCGCCAAAAAGGCTGTAAGTGCTAATTCCCTTCACCTCCACCTACCTGTGTGAGTGCGGGTTTTCCGCATTGACTTTGTGTCACGGTCCAAACTACTACTCTGGCGAAGTCCATCCCCTTCCGGTGGACCTCCATGGGACCTTATTTCGAAAAAATTATGTATTGAA